TTTATAAGTACATTAAAAAAAATTCTAATTTTGTTTTATGTGATTTTACTTCCAATCACATAAATTACCAATAGATTAATCAATACAGACTAAACTTTTTGAAACCTTTGTCACGAATCTACACGCTCGCAGAGAGAATATCGTATTAAACCTGTTTTTTATCATATAATCTTGCCCACTAATTAATTAAAACTTAGCCAAAGATAAGAATCTCCCGTAGGAGGGCACGCACCCCGTCGCACACCCTTATTCCAAGATATTTCGTTAATTATATAATCTTGCCGATGAATCTATTAACGTATACTTTTGCCTTTGGGGTATAATCATTTGGTTTTATTGCCTTTCGTATGAATACTGTTGCATGAATTTTTAAGGATTATTCCTATTTGCCGTATATGCTCGTGTTACTCTGAGGAAGTAATCAATTGTTCTGTTACCCAGTTAGCAAAAGTGATCATTGAGGGTTAAATGTATGAATCCATGAAGCCTTAGCCAATTGATGAGTATTTGCTGCAGCAGGCGTACTGCCACACACCCTTGTTCCAAGACATTTCGCAATTACGTAATCTTGCTCATGAATTAATTACCGTATACTTTGCCTTCAGGACATGTTTCTTTATTGCCTTCGTATGAATGAATATCGTTGCATGAATTTTTAAAGACTTTTTGTTCCTATTTGCCGTATATGCTCATGTTACTCTGAGGAAGTAATCCATTGTTCTGTTACCCAGTTAACAAACGTGATCATTGAGGGTTAAATGTATGGATCAATGAGGGGAACATCTCCTGGAGTACTGTGTTGACAATTTCAAGTATAAGAAATCGCATATTAGAGTGTTAAGGTTTTGTTTAGAAATTAAAATTGCTTAACACAGAAGTGTCCGAGTGGTTCCTTCCCAAGTTCATGCATAATAATCTTAATTATAAGAACTGTATCCTGCGGTGAGATTTGAATTTGGAGACCTGACATAACACACTAATACATAATCAGTAAATGTTAAAGCGAGAATAATTGTATTATACCGATCGATAATACGAACTTAGACAACGAAGCCGAGCTTAATCTGGCATACTTACAGCACACCTGCATAACTTCATACAATTCATTGTCTTATCCCGATCGATGACACTACCCTCATCAGCGAGTCAGGGGCTAATTATCATAACGGCTCGCATTAGCATAATCGCATACATTCGCATAAAACAATGCGATTATCTCTAGAATTAGCATAATGCATGCGCGTAATTACATCATTTAACAAAATTTCGGATAATTACATATTTTTCCAAATTTCATTTTTTTCATCTAAATTTTCATACCCGGCATATGCAACAAGGGGGTGCATGAACCCCCAGGTTACGAGCCAACTGCCATAGAGAGAGGCGCGGACAGCGCGCGTGCGCGTTCGGATTAAACTCGGAACCCAATTTGTGGTTAGAAACTAACGAGGCTCCCTTGGTGGATTGTTTTTTGCAGGCTAGTTTGTACTTTTTTCCCCTTTAATGAAGAGATTCGAAAGCACTACTCCGCGTGCTCAAATTAGAAACGCGGTGTTTCCATGTTCAAATATAGATTTGTGCATACCCTCCCGTCTCTAGACTCCGATGAGTGCACCTGCTGTGCGGACGGGTAATTGAACCTTATGGCGGGACCCCGGGGTCCCCAATAAACGGAAGTGAAAATCGGATTTTTTTTTATTCATTTATTTTAGCGAGTCCGTCCCACCGCACACATAAACGCCGCGACCCACCTGGCGCTGATCATTCTGTTATGTCACGTCGGGCCCAGGCGCAGCAGCGAGGACTAATGCGCAGAAGAAACAAAACTTTGAATTGTTAAGGGCTCATATTCTTGGTTCTTTCGGTAAAGTCGCGTTGAAGGGAAGCAATAAAATAATAAATATATATAAAACAATAAAATTATCGCGACGTTTCGACTGTAACGCAAACAGTCATCATCAGGTGTGAAAAAACCAACGGCAAGAAACATTTGAAAGAAGTGGCGGTTTCTTGCCGTTGGTTTTCACACCTGATGATGACTGTTTGTGTTACGGTCGAAACGTCGTGAGAATGTTATTGTTTTATATATATATTATTATTTTATTGTTTCCCTTCAACGTGACTTTATCGAAAGAGCCAAGACTATGAATCACTGCAGTTACGAAAGCTTTAAATCAAAATTTGTTAAGGGCTCGTTGAAAGGAATAGATTGCCGCGTCGTTCGCCTTCAACAGACATCAAATGGCGTCGCAACGGAGTTCATGCGAGAGCCGGGGTCCCGACGTGAGATGGCACGCCTCGTGTGGTCCCTGCTGGGAGCATGGAATGAATTCGATGAGCCTCTCGCAGCCCACGAGACGTAGGTTCCCACCCCCCTGCTGTATCGGAAGTTTGTCATGATTATTTCGGCTTCAAGGGCGATCATTGCTCGTGACAATTGGTGATGCCGCTGCAGGATTATGCGCCGGGTCACCTGAGTTTGACTCCTCGAGTAAAGAGGTCCAGCTCACAGTGTGATGTGTCTCATTCTCATCACGGGTGGCTTTTGACATCTGAATCTGAACGGAGATTCTCGGGTAAAGGTGTCTGCCATTTCCATTGGCAGTTCTTAGCTAGTAAAGGAAATTCCAGAGTACTATGGCGGAAAACTGTTGGCTTCACACGACATTGTCATTATTTGTATCGGCCACGGAGGGATAATGATCAATCATGCTTGATGATGTAATGATGGTGGCGGATGGCGGCGGTTACTGTTGTGGGGAGCGGTGGCGTCGCGGTTAGCGTGGTGGCGCCCCCGGGTTCGATTCCCGCTCACGGCCAACACCCAGTGACGATTATCTGAACCGGTCCTCAGCATCATCTGAGTACCTGGTGTGTAAACATCGCCACTGGGGAGACAAAGGCGACCAGGCGTGGTGCTGGCCAGCTACCGCCTCGTGTGGTGTTCCGGCCTACATAGATGCTCGCTGACTTGCCCCAACAGTCTGTTAAGGCTACACGGTGGATATTTGTCTTTGGTTAGTGTTGTCGCGACGGTGGTGTTGGTGGTTGTGATGATGATAATAGTTGGGATGCTGACGTTGGTGAAGATGGCAATGATGGTGGTGGTGGCGGTGGTGGTGACATCGATGATACTGATCAACATGATGACAATGGTGGTGACGATAGCCATTAGGATGATGATGTCAGTGGCCATGATGATCGGAATGATGATGATTATCTTGATGATGATGATGATGATATTGTGAATCGACGTCCATCCAAAAATTGAACTCATACCTATAAGTCTAGCGTTCTGACCACAGCATGACCCGGTAGGATCATTAAAATATATATCAAGAGAAGAATATGCATTACCCGAAACGTCGCCGATATATTTTGCTTCCTCTTTGTGTTATGGACGACTGAATTTTAATTTTATTTTCCGATCCAGTTCTGGTTTTCGTGTCGTTCCATGGGTTGACGCGTTCAATTGTTGCGATGGAAAATACTTGTTGCGTAATGCCCGGGCGCATTGAGAAAACCGGGCCTGGGTAGGAAGAAAAACGCGGCCTGGAGTCCCCTGGACTGGAGTTTCTGGTTTTGTAAATAAATGCGCGGACTTTGTCACGCTTTAGCTACACAAGAAACGTGCGTTGTTCCTATTGCTTTTTTTTGTTTGTCGACCGTTTGTGTTATGGTCGAAACGTCGTGAGAATTTTTTTATTGTTTAATATATATTTTATTATTTTATTGTTTCCCTTCAACGTGACTTTACCGAAAGAGCTAAGAATATGAATAGGTCCCATAGTGTTTACTTTTGAGCCAGGGGAAGTCGAAATTCCACGTTGCTATGGCGGGGAGGCGGGCGGGGGGTAAAACCCATCGGACAACCACTGTTGACTTCCACCAAAGAGTAATGCGACTCATTGTATCGATCCCCGGAGGGATGATGGATTTGAACTGGCACAACCTTGCCGCCCAGCCACGTGACCATTTCGCATGGCGATCTCGATTCGACGAGCACATTTGGTTATGTACGGTGCGAAATAAGTTCAACAAACATACTGCACACACATACATACAGACATACATAGATACATATGCAGGCAGTTTTGCATCTTCAATCCGAACCGGAAGCAATAACTTCATTCAACTTTTAATCACATCGTCGTCGTCATCATCATCATCAACAAGATTGGTCATAAATACTCAATAAATCCACTGCTGGATGATAGAGTGGACGTGATATTTTTTTTGTACAATGATATTGTTTCATCCATTATCAGCACATTGTATTTACAACAACAAAAAACTCAAAAGTTTTGAGAAGAACATAAATTACCACTGCTTCCTCTTAAATACGGTACTTAAACTGACGTGTATTGTATATTAAAAAAAATATATTCCACTGGCAGTGTTTGTTATACAGCTAAATGAAATAATACTGGCAATTGCTTAAATTACATGTAACAGCCTCCATACCGCGCCCGTTCCAACACTTGCTTGCAAACGAGAGTCGTGTACTCAGACATCTACTCAGACATTAGTCCCCAGCACTCTAATTCAGCAGTCGCAGCGCTGAGATGCCTTGCTTTGTGTCCCTGATTACCGCATTCTCAGGACGACTAGAAGACGCACCGTTTTGTTTTAAATAAAAAAAAAGTTGGTGGGGGGGTGGGTGTCGTATAATCCGGTAGAGAGGTGTGTGGCGTTATTGTAATGTCATGCCTAGTTTCGTGAACGCTTGTAACGATGCCCTAAAACACTTGGTGGGGGGGGGGGGGGTCGCTCTTTAATCGTTTGTTAAGAGCCGGCGCAAGGGAGCGGTGGCGCAACGGTTAGCGCGCTTCCCTCCGAACCCGGTTGCGCCGAGTTCGATTCCCGCTCACGGCCAACAGCACCGGTGTCGATTATCTGAACCTGTCCTGGGCCTCCCCTAAGTCGACTCAGTCTCAAATTAGTACCAGGTGCGATGTGTAAACATCGCCACTAGGGAGACAAAGGCGGCCGGGCGTGGTGCTGCCCACCCACCTCCTCGTGTACCGTGCCGGCCTTTATAGGTGCTCGCTAGCAGCACTTGCCCCCACAGCCTGTTAAGGCTATACGGGGGATCTTTGCCTTTGTTTTGTTTATACATTGGACTCTACCACAAAGGTCAGGGTGCTAAAGTGCGATTGTTCCGATTGAACAATGAACAAAGCCACGCTATCCTTTGTCTTTTCAACCATTGTCTCAAATCGTGGGCGCTCGTTATGAGCAGTGACCTTGCACTTTGACCATCTTGTACCATCACGTGTGCATGTGCGTGTGTGTGTGTGTAACAGATGGGTGTGTGTGTGGGCAGCGGTAGTGCAGCGGATGACGAAGTGGTTAGCGTCCTGCACGATGAACCCCGGCTTTCCCGAGTTCGATTGCCTCTCAGGGCCAACAACCACCGACGAATATCTGAACCGGATCGACTCGGCCTCAAACGAGTACCTGGTACGGTGTTTAAACATCGCCACGAGAGAGACAAAAGCGGCCGGGCGTGGTGCTGGCCACCCACCCCTTCTTGTGTCGTTATTCATAGGTGCCACTCGCTAACAGCACCTGCCCCAATCGTCTGTTAAGGCTACACGGGGTGCCTTTGTCTCTGCTATCTATGTGTATGTCAGCATGTCCGTGTGTGTACCCTTGTGTGTCTGTGCGAGCATGTATGTGTGTTTCCTTCAGAGGTGTGCCTCCTAACAGCACTTGCCCTGATAGTCTGTAGAGCTATACGGGATATCTTTGTGTTTGTCCACTGTGTGTATTGTACGAATATACACATATGTCACGAAAGAACTAAATAATGTAAACCTACATAACGGTTTATACGTTCAAACACAAATATATATAATATATAAATAACAGTATTTAACATTACGTGGTGTGTGTCTATCTATGTTCATATGTGGTGGCTATCATCTCCCTCCACTTATCTCCCTAAAAGATAACGGCTGGAAAGGCCACATTCCTATGAGAGCCACCGGTGTTTTTCCACGCGCGCACACACACACACATACACACGCGCACACGTGTGTGCACATGTGTGCACACACGTGTGCACACATGTTGCGCTTGCGTGCTTGCGTGCGCACGGGCGAGTGCACGCACGCACGCACATTGAAATGCGGTTGACCCGAAGAGATGGCGCCTGGTTGTATGCTCGCGATCGCGTGGATCGCCAACATGGACCGGGCTTGCTTGGCTGAGCGTCTTCAGTAGGAGTCGTGAATTGCACTTGGGAGTCTCTCTCTCTCTTCACACAGCGTCTCGAGATCTTCCTCTCTCTCTCTCTCTCCACTCTAGTTGCGCCCATCGCGGTATTTCCCGGTCAGCGACTCCAGGTCCATGTCTCTCCTCCTTTTCGACCGCCTGCTGGGAAGAACACAGTGAAGGAAATTCATTAAGAAGAAGAAGAAGAAAAATACGAAGAAGAAGAAGAAAAAAAGGAAAAATAATAATTAAAGAAGAAAAAAATCGCTCCGTAAATCGATTACCCGGGTTATGAACCGGGCGAACACTCAAGACACCAGTATAGAGTCTCATTTGCAAGAGCGATCTGGCAGTAGTTGAAAGCAATGGTGACCACCGCTGCTGCTGTGCATGTGGATAGGTGCTCGCTAACAGCACTTGCCCCAGCAGTCTGTGAAGGCTATAATGGGGGGGGAGGAAGCATCTTTATCTTTGTGTGTGTGTGTAATATCCCAGTGGAGCAATTTGCGGTGTACAGTAATTTTGTAATTTGGCAAAACTTGATGTTGTCACGCGATGGGCTACTTTTGCGAATGACGCCATGGGGGTTTGTCGGTGACGACAGGGGCGGAGGGGGGGGATGGTGCGTGGGGGGGATGGTGTGTGTGGGGGGGGGGGGTGTCTTTAACGTCCCTCTATGAAGCAGAGGAGGCACGCGGTGATAAAACGGCGATGACCCCCGCAATGATAACGAGTGTGGCCGCGTGATTCCAGCCGTTGTGGTGTGCCTCTGCGCCACCGCCAATGCAATATCGACAAAGAACGAGTCGTTAAACCAGACTCTAAAAAGCGCGCCATATTTAATGCTTTTTTTGTTTAAAAGCCACGTTAAACAAGGTCCCGCATTACATTTAGCTCAATGATAAAAGTCGATTTCGTCAAAGCGTGTTGAACGCTATTTTGCGGCAGCGTGTGTGACAGTGGTTCTACGACGTCATCTTCACCCGCCGCGTTCTCCGACGCACAGAGCGATGCACCGCTAGCTGCGGTGATGATGACCGGAGCTCGGGGGAATTTACGGGCACGAATGAAACGCAGCGTCGCCATCGTCGTGGTCTATGCCGGGGGAGGGGGGTGGGGGGGACTCTTATCGCGTGAACAACGGGGTCGGCTTCAAAAGGACGCCACTGCCGCACTCACTCACCCACCCCCCACTCACCTCCCACCCGCCCACTTCGATAACCATCAACCCTTGGACTCGGCGCAACGCCCCGTTTCCATTGCTCACCGTGACCACGTAAGGGATTTTCTTTTTTGGTTCCGTTTGTTACTTACGTCACGGATGGCAAACGGGATAACTTTTTTATTTTGCCTTTTACCCGAAAGATGTTTGCTTTGTGGGACGTCCAGTTCAGCGAACTCTACGGCCCTTCCGTGACGCGCGCTCTCCCCTTGAGCAAGCTGGAACGTGACAAGTCACGTTCCACCGTCGATTGCATCTCGCGGCTGCCCTCGAATCCGCCCGACCACGCCGCTGCTGGCGAAAAGGACCCCCCGCTCGAGAGTTGCTCTGGAGAGGCCCTCTCGAGGCCGCTGTGGGCCTCCTCTCACGCGCTTGCCGGTAAGTCTCGGAAGAATCGGGAGTAACCCACGCTCGAACGCGAACCGCGCTTGACCGGCCGATCAACTAACTGTAGCGCGTTCCTTTACAACTGGCGTGGTGAAAAGACGGCGATTTCAAGAAAACTCGCACCGTTCTTTCAAATGCATCGCCGGTTAGCTGGAATCGTAGCGAGGGCCATCCGGTGCTGCTCACCCGCGACGCCGCTGTAGCAGCACCACCGCGGTTGTTTGAATGACTTTGCCACGATATTCTGTCGTTCGTGGTTCCTCGTTGCAATGTCACGCGCTCTGTGCATCGCGCTTCCTCGCTGCGCTAGGCACCAGGTCCACATTCCAATCAGCTGTCACCACCGGACGGTGAACAAAGGCTACGGACCCCTGTGCGTACAGGTTGTGACGCACAGGGGACACCTGACTCTCGGTTTGGAAGGGGGGAGGGTGCGTCGGGGGGGGGGGGGGTGGTCAGCTGGAGGGGGTCCCCTTTGCAAGGTCTTTTATTAAGGGCCGCAGTCTGATGATTTACGCACGTGTGGGTGGCTACTGTCTTTGTTGTCATTATTGCTGTGGCTTTCATTATGAGATTCACGACCGATATTCCTCCGTCTCTCGCCGTTTCGCGGGATGCTCACCTGAAGAGGATGGAGGTGACGGCGCAGACGATGAGGGCCAGGCATGAGATGACCAGGGCGGCCAGGGCGATGGTCCTCGTGTGGAGGCTATCCTCCTGCTTGGTCACGGGCAGCGTCACCGACTCGCACCTCATGCCCATGTAGCCTGTGGGACATCTGTACGCATGGGGCGGGGGGGGAGGAAGGCACAGAGAGGGCTGTTAGTTGTCGGGTCAAAAAGTCAAAGAGTCTCCAACGCGTGCCTGGAATATTCTCCAGAGCCCGGAGGCACGTGTCTCGTGGTATTGTTGCAAATTCTCAGAAGTGTTAAAAAAAACATTTTAAACACCCTTGTAAAGTCAACGTGACTTTACCGAAAGAACCATGAATATGAATCACTGACAGTCACGAAAGCTTTAAATCAAAACCCTGTATGTAGTTTTATCCGGTATACGTGGGACTTTGGGCCAACGGTTGTACACACGTACCAACGTTAAGCTAACGTTGGGCAAACGTTGAGCCAACGTTGAAGCCAGAAACTGCAATGGCGTGAGCCAGAAATTGCACGGGACCCACCCCTTCCCCTCTACCCACATACACACAATCGTGAATGATACACTTGCAAAATAATACCACGTTCATAACACAGAGCCATTGGGCAATCCACACGCGATTGTAATTTGACAATCCGCCGGTTCAGTGCGCGGGGGCGTAGGCTAAGGGAGCATAGATTTGGTCGAACCAGGGGTATAGAAGTAGAGTACAACGACGACGGATCTCGCTGCACTGTCTTCCGCTGACCCCCCAAACAGCCTCCCATCGCGCCCCTGTTTGTGCCGGACCAAGCCAAGGCTCGAAGCCTGCTTGCCTTCCGAGATCTCACGAGATCACGGGCGTATTCCCCCCGTCGAGTACGTATGTTGAACTTCTTTCGCGCCGTACGTAGCCGACTATGCCAATCAGAGACTTTACAGAGCGCTGCTTGCATACGCATGCCGATTGCCAATAATGTCGTGCATATTATATTGTACATTGCTGGATGAGTGTCTCCCCACCGAACCGTGCATGCATGCGTAGGATCAATGTTGTCCCGTTTATCAATAACGTCGTCCCATTTACCAATATGAGATTGATGATAAATCATCGACATTGATGATAACTCGTCAATATCATCAATATGGTCATTACGATTACGCACCAGGAGCATGATGATCAACAGCAGCAGTAATATCAACAGCCGCAAAATCATAACCAACCCCAGCTGCAGCAGCAGCAGCAGCAACAATAACCAACAACATCATCAGCGGGAGCAGCGACACCACCATCAACCATTGCTTCGCACAACGACCACCACCGCCGCCCTTCCGCCGCCGTCAAGCCTCATCCAATTACGCGACCCGAGCGCCTTTGTCTCTCCCCTCTACTTACACGCATTGGGGCTGCTGCAGCGCCTCGGCGAAGCGACACGTGCCGTGCACGCAGTAGTTGGGCTCGGGGCAGTCCGAAAAGTGTCCACGCGTCTGGCTCTCGCCCTTGGGCTTCTTCTTCTTCCCGTCGTTCGACTTCTTCTTCCCCTTGCCTTTCTTATTGCCCTTGCCCTTCTTATTGCCCTTCTTTCCCTTGGCGACGGGAGGCTTGCTCTGCTGCGTCGGACCCGAGCGCACGGCCGCCATCAGGTGCTCCGTTTCAAAATGTCCTTCGGACGCGCCGCTCATCTCGTAGTCAACATCCTCCTCGTCGCTGTAGTGGTCTTCGTCGTCGTCGCTGTAGTCTTCGTCGTCTTCGGAGAAAGGGCGCGGAGATATCTCGTGACCAGGGGACGGCGAGGTGACGGCGGGAGGACTCTCCTCTGGCCGGGTCGCGGCGGTGCCGGCTCTCGAAGGAATATCATTGTCGCTTCTGCTCAGGACAACTGGAAGACGGGGGTGGGGGGGGGGGGGGGGAATTCGTCATTTTGAGCATCATCAGCAGCAGCAGCAGCAGCCAGGCGAATTGCCGGCGCCTCCAACAATTGCCCGAGCTCCGCAATCCTATCCATGCTCCGAAGCTTTTCGGGCAATGTTCTAAGCGTTCATCATCAGCAGCAGCAGCGCTCCTCATTTCGTGCTCTCGATGCCGTCGCGAGAGTGGCATCCGCGCGTGCATCTTAGCGGCGGTAAAGAGGCGTGCAGACGCTTCACGGCAGCACGGCAAAGCTTTGAAGCGGCCCTCGCCGGAGTTTCTGAACACCCACTCGCGCTGAATTGCGAGACACCGTCCGGGTGTTCTATTTCACGCCTACGATCGTGCCGGTGCTTGTAACGAACCACACGCTCACACAAAACTGGTTTGTGTCTCGGTGCGCACGTGCGTCTGTGTCGTTGTGTGACTGCACTTGCCCGCGGGTGTCTTGTGCGAGCGCGCGCGAGTGAATGCGTTACGAGCGCTCGCGAAACAGCGCTTGCCCCCAACAGTCTGTTCAGGCTATACGGGGGATATTTGTATATGCCACACGTATGTGTCGTCCGTGTGTAGCGTGTGTGTGTATCGTTCCGTGTGTACCGTGGGGAGCAGTAGTGCAGCGGTTAACGCTACGCTGCGCTATAAACCCGGCGACCCGAATTCGATTCCCGCTCACGGCAAACACCAACAGTGACGATTATTTTAACCGGTCCTGGGCCTCCCCTGGGTCGACTCAGCCTCAAATGACTGCCTGGTGTGGTGTGTAAACATCGCCACTGGGGAGACAAAGCGAGCGTGGTGCTGGCCACCCACCCCTCGTGTTCCGTTCCGGCCTTCATAGGCGCTACCCGCTAACAGCACTTGCCCCGACAGTCTGTTAAGGCTACACGGGGATCTTTGTCTTTTTTTGTAATTGGAGCGGCGGTGCAGCAGTTGGCGCACCGCGCCGCGTGCATCCATCCGGTGGCCTCGATCCAATTCCCGACCACGACTAACGCCGAAACACCAATCACTTCTGAAGCCGTTCTGTGCATCCCCTAGGTCCACTCAGCCTTAAGCTACAACTCAATCCTATGCATAAACATCGGCACCAGTGAGGCAAACGCTGCCCGCACCGCACCGTGGCCCGGTCCGACATTAATAGGTGCTCGCTAACAGCACTTGCCCCCAACAGCATGTTGAGGGGGTGGTCTTTGTCCGCGCGTAATTGAAACTCACCCGCAACGGAGAGAATACAGACGAGAAGAACGAGCGGAGTTTGCGTCTTCATCGTGAGTCTGAGCGTCAGTGGAAAGTGGAACCGTGAGCTATGGGTCTCCGCGTGCGCTCCGACTTCGCTCTTGGGCTCGACACTGACGAATGGAGGGAATGCACCCTGGCCCTCCTTATATACACACACATCGCCACCGCCGCCGTCGTGTGGCGCTTTCCGTGAGTAAGCTTCCGGAGGACCCCTCCCACTCATCCTCTCTCCTCCTCCCCCCTCTTATTTTTTTTCTTCATAATTTTCGTCTACGCCCCTTTCAAATGGCACTATGCGTATCCTCCTACACATCCACCCAACCCATCCACCACCGGAACTCCCTCTCCTCCCGTATCGGTGATGCTGTTGGTGCTGTTCACACAGCTGTTGCTAAAGTAGACGTGCAGTAGTAAGCACAGAGATCCCGTCAACACACGTGCAGTAAACAAGGGGCTAAATTGTGCATTATATATAAAGGTATTTATTCCACATCCGTGTACAACCAAAAGTAGGCAGAAGGCTGATCAATACCAGAACGAGAACAATAAAATTACCTCGCGTCGTTTTAATGTTGATGAATGTGGCATACCCCCCCCCAACCCCCCGACTGAATCAGGGCCCCGCTAACGGAGACGACGGTGATCAACGATTAGCTGACTCCGCTATTAAACGTGACACCACCCCCCCCCCCCCCCACCAGCTGGCCGGGTTCGCTGCCCGGCTGTGGTCAAAGTGGCGATCGTGAATTCCTCCCGTGCGATGTTCGAGCGGCGTTTTGAGTCTCTCGCCACGAGACGGCGATAGGAGAGAGGGAGGGAGGGACGATCGATCTATAACGCACAGATAACGGCGATGCGTCGTGAATAGGCGACGTTTCGGGCTATGGGCCCCCCTTTCACAACACAGAGATTACCATAGAGAGGCCACTCGAAACATGATAGGCGACGTTTCAGGCAATGGCCCTTCGGCCGTATTCCAGGTGATTTGGTCATAACAAGTTTGCGAATATCGTGACAGCTGTGGGTTAACAGCGCCAGTGGTTTACAGAGCGAACGCTGATGTTTATTTTGATCGAAGTGAGTTAGGGTGGGGTGGGGGGGAGCGGTGGCGGAGCGGTTTTACGCAACGCGTCGTGAATCCGGCGGCCCGAGTTCGATTCTCGGAAACGGGATTTTAGTCAATCCTGGGCCCCAATCCGTATTAACCAACTCGCACCCACGTGGGTGCTCAAGTATGGTCAAATAACTCCCATGATCCACACGGCGTGGGGAAGAGGGGCGGGTGCCTCATCCACCATTGGCAAGTGGAAGTAGAGGACGTTATACAACGCATTAAACTCCACTTACAGATACGCTGATGGTCACCATCAGTGCGATGAGATAACACACGAACGAGCGGGTGGGATGGTCATTCAAAGCCACGTAGAGAATTGATCTTAGATATCTCTTGAAGCCAGCTGATCTGAGAGATGGCAGTACAGAAAGTGGGTTCGCCTACGTACCCAGGCGCTGTGTTGTCCCCTCGTCTGTACGAATGCATGCGTCGTGTCCTCTACATGAAGCCAAATGTTTATGAATGGAATTCATGGCCAAACATCGCAGCGAGGCTTTCCTGCGTTTGTCTTTTTTTCGTTCCTTCGTTTCTCGATCTGCTTGTCCTGATGAGGGTCGCGGTGGCAGCATGTTGAGTAGCGCCTCCATAACCGTATATGTGTGCACTGAATATCTGCACCGGTTCTGGGCCTCCCCTAGGTCGACTCAGCCTTATACGAGTACGTGGTGCGGCGTGTAAAACACCAGCGCTGGGGAGACAAAGGCGGCCGGGCGTGACGTTGGTCACCCACCGCATCATGCGCTGTCACCGACCTTTTCCATAGGGGCTCCTCGCCAGCAAGCACGTGCCCCCAATAGTCGACCAAAGGCGATACGGTGAGACCTCACTCTGTATCGGTGTAAGCACCCATGTTGTTGGCAAGTCGTCCTTCAAATTTAAGAGGCCGGGGGAGAAGTCAAGGGGTTTTGAGGTGAGCCTCTCCACCTCGTAAACAAATGGCATCACCGCTCTGATGTGACATCACACAAATCCGGGTGTCGAGCGGAGCTGTGGCATAACACGGGCGTTGAACGCGACGAGGGCGCTCTTGGGGGAAAAGAAGATGATCATGAAGAAGCAGAATTAAAAAAAAACGAAATCTGTTCAACAGAAACGAAACAATAAACGGTCACGGTCACAATGCTGGCAGCTCGCCTTAATGAAGCTGGTTGTGTGACTGTGTCTCCGCCTGCGGGTGTCTGTGCGAGCGTGTGCTCGTTGCATCTGCGCGTCTGTTTGTAAGCGTGTGAGCGCGTTTGCGTTACGGGTGTTTCTTCTGGGTTTACTCTCCAACACACCGGTGTGCTGAAGTAGTAACTGATTGGCACGTTTTTTTTTGTATACGTGACAAACCTAACCGATTGGCCGTGTCGGTTGGTGACGGGTTTAACGACACGTTTATATTTACGCGATCTAACTAACAAATACACTTTACTACGGATAATATTGGTCGCAAAAGCCTACTATCACGTGTTAAAAGAAACATTTTTTATGTCAATACGTGGGAATCCGTGACCATGGGGACCCACTGCGCACAGCCACAACTCTTTTTTTCAACCACGACTTGAACAGCTCGCTCGCACGTGACTGTCCGTCCGTTCCTCCAGCCAGCCAGCGAGCAAATCTTTTGTTCATCAAATCTTAGAACATGAAAATACGATAACGTATCCCAGGGAGGATAGGCAACCAAAAGGAACAAGAAGAGCATTTTTTTTGCGAAATCGGTATAAACAAAAAAAAACACCCATCAATATTTAAAGAGTCGCGATGCGACGTGGATAAGGGTCACGTAGCGGTCCTGAAAAGAGCCTCGCGCGGCTCAGGAGCCGCAGGCTGCCGACCCCCTGGCCTAACCCGCATCCCGCGCAAATTGGGGCCGCGGTGGAGGGATTCGGTAGAGAGGAGAGGCGTTGGCGTCAGCACGCACGGGTCTGAGGTCGCCACGCACATACAGAAATCGGGATGAGTCTTCTGCTTCTCTCGCACCGGTTGCTGATGTAGATGCAGAGCAACAAACTACAATTTCACATTCAGGTGTCAGGAGTAGCGGAGTAGTTGCATCATCATCATCGCTGCGATGTCTCCGTCGTATTTGCGAATCGGTGCATTGCGTCGTTACACGATGTACGGTCTGTTCTGGATGACCGTAGTCGCACCACGACTACTGGAGAGGTTTCTTTTTTTATTTTTGGAACTAGTAAAGTGATGGCACTCCTTAAGTGGCGCGGATAATTAAGTTAAATATCTCGTTTGGGCTCAAGGGCTACACGTGATGGAATTGGCCAAATCACCCAAATGTAGCAGAACTCTCCCGAATAAAAAATATATTCTTAAAACTCAATGAGGTTTTTTTCGTGGGTCAACAGTTGACATTATTATCATGTGTACTATTATCACCATTACTCTTCCAATTAGCAGGATTTTTTGTTGTTGATATTATTCTTATCATTGTACAGTCATTGGTGACAGGACGGACACCACCAATTTACTATACCACACTTGACAACACGGCTTAATAGCGATTGTGACTTAAGGCGTGAGAATTAAACATGGATCCGAACCCAGGCTCTAAGTTGTTCCGGCTCAAGAGTCTCTGACGTAAATCTTAGATCCCCCCCCCCCCACACAGCCCACCGCCGCTCCTACTCAGCTACCCCAGTCACATCCTCGGCAAATTATTTTTAGCATCAACTTTGTAAACACTTCAACTGAGAGACCCCCCCCCTCCCACACCGCGCGCGCCGTCATATCGGCGATTTAAAGAGGCCACCACCGTTTACGCAGGGGCCACAGGCGTCATGCGAGCGATTTGCACACACGAAAGCATTTATGAGCCTACGGAAGCCATCGTTGGGATTTTCCAAAGTCGGATAAAGCTCGCACGCGAACGCACGGGCTACGTGCAGTGAGTTAGGGTTTAGGCACACATTTGTGGTGGGTATTAGTGTGCTGTCATTCCATTCATGGTCAATCCGCTACTGAATGAAGGACCCTTTCCCACGCCGCCGCCCATCTCGCGGTCCCGCGATGCACTGATCCCTCCAGCTCCAACACGGCCGTTGATCTATTCGCTCCATCTCCGCGGTGAACGACCAAAACGGGCGCGTTTCCCCCTCCTTTAGCTGGCGATCCGTCACAAGTCTCGAACATTCGGCGTTTTCCAAAACCACTTTTTTCGATCGACCGCGCAGATGATGATGAAGGGCTGAGTCGCTTTTATTGTGGATCAGTGCTTATTGTTTCAAGGTTGCGAGCGGTGCCGCAGCAGTTAGCGCTACGCTGCACTACGAACCTGGCGACCCGAGTTCGATTTCCGCTCAACGACCAACCCCGCTGATAAAAATCTGAATCGGTCCTTGGCCTCCTCTAGGTCGACTCAGCCTCAAATGAGTACCTGGTGCGATGTGCAAACAACGCCACCGGGGAGACAAAGGCGGCCGGGCGTGGTGTTGCCCCTTCGTGTGCCGTCCCGGCCTCCATAGGTTCTCGCTGACAACACTTGCCCCAACAGTCTGTTAAGGCAATATGGGGGACCTTTGTCTTCATTGTTACACGCCCCGATCATGACCGATATATTTATTCAGGGACGCCTCACTGAGTCTCAAGACTATTTGTCCAGAGGGTATTTCTCCATCGGGGGAGGAAGCCGGACAACCCGGAGAAAACCCCTTGACGCGTGCGAGGAGTTAACCTCAGTGGTGGTGCTGGGAATATGCAAACTAAGCAGATAGCTCAATGAGTCCCAGATTCACGATACAAATGGAGATTCGCCAAATACAAACTCATCTTACTGCACCTCTGCATCCTGTCGACGTATCTCTTATCTCACCGCATATTTGTGTCATCTGCATCTTCCCTTATCTCACTACGTATCGGACTCTTGCCTCTATATCTTCGGCCATCTCACAAAGAGTTTACAAATTGAAATGGTCGGTGGTGGCAAAATAAAATCCTTAGGGCGCCGGAATAAGCCAGCACCACCAATGAGGATAGCTCACAAACTCCACAATACCAAGATTGGCCAGCAAACTTACTTACTCTACG